ATTTTGAACAAGAAATCCGAAATCATGAGTACATGCATGCATACGAAAAATTCATCTTAAGTACATATGAGGTTGGATAAAAATATACGTTTCAATTACACCCTCACCGATACGTTTATAATACCCTTGCTTTTTCTTCTTCTTCTTCTTCTTCTTCTTCTTCTTCTTCTTCTTCTTCTTCTTCTTCTTTCTATCACACTCAACGTCGTGCGGTTGTTTTTTTTTTTAAACCATATAGCGATCATCAGATTTTTTTTAAACAAAGCGTCTGAGGATACCGTAATGTTGAAACCAAGGCAACGGATTCAACTGATCCCTTAATTTCGAAAAGTTAAAAGCTCTACATGTTATTTTTTATTTTATTTTTTTATCACGCGTCTATCCAGCACTTTTTAATACTACTGTTTCCTGGTCTGATTCAACCCTGATTCAGTCCTCCATCTTAAGCTTTTTCATCTATGAGGAAATTGTCCAGCATTCGTTGGATAGAGGACTATTACATAACAGTTCAACACCCTTTTGTTTGTTATTAATGAAATTTTCATGTTTCTTTATACTTTGCTTAGCTTTTGGAAGACATATTTCACAATTCCAATGCACATCCTGATTTCTGTTGCATTTTCCATCATCTGTTAAAATGCTTCCTCAATATTTAAATGTTTGTATTCGTTTGATTTTGACACCGCCATTTTGTAGTTCGCATGTTGGACTGTCCTTTTTGCTGAAACTCATATATTCGGACTACTTACAATTGATGTTTAATCCTTTCTTCTCGTTTTCCTTCACAATCTTCTCTGGGAGTGTCTACAGTTTCATTTTTGTATGTGTTAATAACACTTTGTTAACTGCATATCTTAAGATTGTGTCCATTAATAATAAATTCTGGTAGGACTTATAATTCTCCCATGATCTTCTTACTGTAATGGTTGACTTACGCCCCTTTCTATTTTTTGGGTGTTTACTGAATTCATTTTCTATGTAGGTGGCTCTGTATTGTTCAGATATTATTTGCAATTAAATCAAGCTTTCCCAAGAGAGAGATTTGAAAGAAACTAAAGCGTTATTGTCCTAGGTAGGCTTTTGTTGTTAATATTAAATGGCTGGGTATTATCTAGATAAACCTTTCGTAGTATACTAACGAAAGGGTCTTGTGAAATGATACAAGAAAAAAATTAAATGTACGACGTATTAAAAATATCTTCAAATTTTTATATCGGCTGATTTTATTTAATATAAAAAAAGTAAGTTAATCAGTTAGAAAAAATATCGCGTAGCTTCGGAGAATAGAATAAACACAAAAGTGTGGGGTTAATACTTATACGGAAAATGGCCGGCCATATTGCCAGCGTACTTTGTTTTCTATTATTTGATTGGAGGAAAAAGAACGATGAAAAAAAAAGCCTGATGCCCACTCACACCAAATCTGTCTCCCGGAAAAGAAAAAAAGAATTCTCCCTTTTGGGTTGGGCTGAAAGGTCTTTTGCAGTTTGCAAAATTCTTACCAGCCACTATACTAAACGACGCTACCCGACACCTACACAATATTCATCCATCTTCCGTCGAGTTACTTTCTTTTTTCTTCTCTTTATCCTGCTGTCTCTAATATTTACTTTAAGTTGGTGTTTGAAGCAGCTAATCAACTGATTGAAAGATAGACATTTCAGTAATCTTGGATCTTCGTGTCCACAAAAATTGGAACATCAAAAGGACGGTTTTTCCTTTGACACTTTTATTTTAACTACCCTCACTCATTGGCAATGTTAATTGTTTTAAAAAGCGATGTTGTAATTGTAATAAAACCTCAATATATGATGAAGTCAATTTATACATTTTTTTCCATCTTGAAAATTTACGACAAAAATATTAAATACTATTTATTTATTAGATTGTCTATTTCTAAGAATTATTTTATATTTTCAACATTCGAAAAACTAATCCAGTTGTATTAAAACTAGTGCAATGCAATATTTAAAACTTACTAATTTATGAAGAAATAAATATGAAAGCATTTTTATTCATAAATTTATAAAATTTTTAATAAATTATTAAAATATGTGAATCATTATTATTTACCATATTATAATGTTCAAATTCATTGGCAATCAGCCGATGTTTTGCTAACCATTCCAATAAATAAAGTAATAATAGTAATAAATAGTGTTTATTATTTTTGTTGTCAATTCTTAAGAATAAAGAAAATTGTATAACATCACTTTCATATGTTTAGGTTTTATTGAAATTTTAATCATTGCTTTTTAAAACAAAACATATCGCCGATGAGTGAAAGTAATTAATACTAATAGTGGTGCCAAAGAAAAAAACGTTTTTTTGTTTTTTAACTTTCTCAGTTTAATTTGTATTGCACAATATTCGATCGAAAACACAGATCCCCAATAAGCAAATACAGGTGATTCCATTTTGAATAAGTAGATCACGTGATAGTAAAGAAAATATATATATGGGAATTAGCGTGACGTCTAATTGATAATCATTTCTATTTTATCCTCTATTACTATACGGATCACTCTTTCAACACTAGCCTCTATCTCTATACTATTCACTATACTATTTCTTTCTACTGATCACTATAAGGATCACTATTCTGTGGTTACTTTTCGAGCGAGTATTATCGAGCAAGTAATATTAGTGCGAATGATATTTGAAGGTGTCTGACACCAGTATTGTTCAACGGCGTTAATATAGTTGTATCTGCGATTACAAAGTCTCTCCTACAACGAGCATTACAAAAGTGGCAACGAGTGTTCGTTGACATCACAAAAACTTCCTAGAAATTTAAATTTTTGTACTTGCTTGATATGGTATTTCCAATTCCTAGTTTGTATCTTGGACCGTTAAAATGGTTGACAACTATACATTCTCTCTTCTTACAATTGATGTTTAGTCCTCACCATTCACTTTCCTTTACTAGCTTCTATAGTTTTACTATCAACATTGCGTCATCTGTTTTTAACGCATTTAGCAGTCATTAGCTATAGCATAGCGAAATAAATAAAAATTGCTAATGATGTAATTTGATATTACTTGTGTATTTTTAACGTATTAACAGTTTATAGCTTATGGCATAACATCGTGGAATCCATGACCCATCAGGTTCATAGAAGCGCCAGATGCATTGCAGCCGAAGTAGAAGTAGCGTTTCTTGACCAAGATAGACTGCAGTGGCACTGAGGTTGGTTTTCCAAATATTTTATACCTTAATTTTCTGTACTGTTTTGTTTTTTGAAAATTGTATTTAGAGCTTTTTCATTCACTTAACCATTTTTGGATAGATATTGTCCCGTGTCAAAAGTCTGATTTTTTTTTTTAATAGGCAGTTGTAGCATTTTATCAGTTCGTACAAAACGATTCTTAAAATTATAAAAGCTTAGCGAACCGGTTGTAGGATTAACCGAAAATAATTTTATATATTAATAGCCAATGGTGCGCATGCCTAATGAAAGTCTTATAGATACACCCCTACCGTTTTTAAGTTAAAAATGCGACAGTTCTTCTAGTCATAAATTCGAAATTGAATGTGAGTGGATGTGCAGGTCTGTCCTGATGGTGTGTCGCCTTGACGTGGTAGGTAATTGTTGAAACTTGACTAATGCATGGAATAATAATGCAACACAAAATGTACTTAGAACAAAATGTGTTGAAACAAGAAAGTGTACACAATATTTACATATAGTCTTTTGTATATTCCTGGTAAGACCGTTCCTGGAGAATGTGTTGACTGAGTCGCAGTCGGGCAGAGTCTCTGGATTGAATCTCTTGATTCCTCTTCTTCTCTTCCCGGTACTCTTACAACAGTAATTCAACGACCCCCCGAGCTACGTGGACGGGGGCTTCGGCCCTTAGCAGGTCCAACCAAGGTCTGTTGGTAGGAGCCAGACGAAAGATACACCCTGATTCCCCAGGTTGGGGGTTGTGCAGTAGGCTAACAACCCACTCACTTAAAAACTAACTTGTTACAGAAACTACAACGATATCATCAAACAACGACATGGCCGAGGAAGAGTCCTCCAAAATGGAGCGTATGACAACGTAGGTTAAATAAAAGTTTCAGTTCGAAATTCCCTGACGGGTACCCGGATCGACAGACACCTGAAGAAAGCCGGGGGGTGCACAACAACTGAAACGTTGTTATAATAACAAAGATGAGGGCATAAGTCCGAATGTAATTAATTGCCATCCTAGAAAGTCATACTGTGATTATGATTTAATTTAATAGAATTTCTTATATATAGGTTAGACTTTGATCTATGGTCAAGCCTTTTAAATTTTTGATGCACACCCCTTTTAGAAGTTTTATCTGAAGCTATAAATATTTGTTCACATGTGAAAATAAAAAAAAACTAGCATATATTTACACATTTGTCCGTTGCCAGTTTCAAGTGAAAATATAAATTGCAGATTTCACACATATGACTGTCGTCTGCCATACAAAAAGAAGAAGCGGGTTGAAATAACAAGAACAAAGAAACAGGAAGAAATATTAGAAAAATATAAATGAAGAAAGACAGAAAACAGGAAAAGGATATTGGGGGAAGAATGGTAAAGGGAACAGAAAAAGGATTTTTTTACGGTTTATCAACCGTTTGCTGGTTATTTAAAACCAGAAATGATTTTAGAATGTAAGTTTTTTGTTTTTTTTGTTTTTTTCTTTAGATAATGATGTTTTTTTACTGGCAAAAGTTCTATTAATTATCCCATGGCTATAGATGGCGGGTTCATACCTTTTCTTAATGGTACTTGACTATAAGTGAATATAAGAAACTAGATGTGAATTCGAACTCGGTTTTCCGACTTTGAATTCTGAGCTGTTCTCGGTTTTACACAATCCGTACATTCAAGCTTACAGCACCTGTGGTATGTCCAAGCGGGAAGCCATCTAGTTACGGCTCAGTCTCGACGTTATTTAATTTTGGTTATCGTACGAACACCGATGTTTCAATGTGATATGGCCGTAAGCTGAAAAGGGCTGAGAAAGACAGGCTTCAGGGAAAGAAAGAAAGGAAGAAGGCAAGAAAGTCTACGTGAATGAAAGAAAGATAGAAAGAAAGAAGGCAATAAAGTTTTCGAGAAAGAAAGAAAGAAAGAAAGAAGGTAAGAAAGTCTACGAGAAAGAAAGAAAGGAAGTTTACGAGAAAGAAAGAAAGGAAGTTTACGAGAAAGAAAGATAGATACAAAGAAAGAAGGCAAGAAAGTCTACAAGAAAGAAAGAAAGAAAGAAAGAAAGAAGGTAAAAAAGCAAGAACGTCTACGAGAATGAAAGTAAGATAGAAAGAAAGAAAGTCAGAAAGCAAGACGGCGAGAATGAAAGAAAGATAGAAGGCAAGAAAGATTACGAAAAGAAAGAAAGAATATGGGAAAGAAAGAAAGAATATGAGAAGCAAAGAAAGAAAGAAGGCAAGAAAGTTTACGGGAAATAAATAAAGAAAGAAAGAAGGAAAGAAGGAAAGGAAGGAAAGAAGAAAGAAAGAAATAAAACTATGAGACAGAAAGAAGGCAAGAAAAACTGCGAGAAAGAAAGCAAGAAGGCGATAAGGAGACGAAATTACAGAAAATGATAGAAAGAAGGCAATAAAAAAAAAAAAACAAAGCTAAAATATTAAAATCGGTGACAGGCAACAAAGAGAAATGGCTGAAGTACCTAGATACAAGAAAATAAAAGAAAATGGAAAACGGAAATAAGGAGGACATGGTTAAACTTGAAGCGGAATGGTAGAGAGGAAGAGTTTTAAGGAAAACGCCCTTACATTCCATCACTCTTAGTAGTGCATCAGAATATAATGCACATGCCAGAACTATATTTAACGTGTTTGTTGTTCATTCCCTAGGCTCTGGTATTATCACACTTGATTCTGTTATCTACGTCATTGTTTTTGTTTTGAATGCCTTTATTCCTCGAGTAAAATCATCACCGCTTCGGCACATCATGACCCAAGTTTTTTCCTTGCCTGTATTTGCTGACAATTCGAGACAAAGCTTATAAAAAATTCTTAAAGTAGAATTATACTACAATGACTGCCAACTTTGCAATCCGTCGTGCCTCTTTCGTTTACTTCTCCATTTTCTTCATGCGCCGTGACACTTCAGGACATAGGCGATCATGGCTCTCCACAATTTCCTTTCCTTAGTAACTCTTAATAAATTTTGTCTTTTTGCTATTTCTCCTAAACCTATATTAAGTTGTTATAGAAATGCTCAAACCTCAAAAATGCCCACCTAAAAAAAAAAATAAAACGTTTTCAGCAAGATAATCCAAAAGTGTCTCCGCGTCCTTGTGGGTGATGGATTATTTTCCATCCTACAACCTCTTTCCCACAAACAAAACCTTGTAATCCTATCGCTGCTCTATCGCTATTCGTATGGGAAATGTTCAGCTGAACTTCTATATGCCTTGTCCTTTCAAGACGTAGCCGATCATAGCTCTCCACAATTTCATGTCCTTAGTAACTCTTAATAAATTTTGTCTTTTTACTATTTCTCCTAAAGCTATTATAGAAATGATCTTACCTCAAAAATGCCTACCTGAAAAAATGTTTTCTGCAAGACATAGTCCAAAAGTGTCTTCGCGTCCTTGTGGGTGTTGGATTATTTTCCATCCTACAACCTCTTTCTCACAAACGAAACGTTGCAATCCTATCGCTATTGGCATAGGGAAGTGTTCTGATGAACTTCTATGTGCTGTCTCCCTTCAAGACGTAGCTGATCATGACTCTCCACAATTTCCTGTCCTTCCTAGCTCTTAATAAATTTTGTCGTTTTGCCATTTCTCATAATCCTTGCTCCAGCCATCCATTTATTGAAGATCGCTAAGAATGTTATGAGTAGTTTTCCTTTGTCTCTCTTACATTCAATCTCGTAGATTATTGCCCGTGTTGTAAAGTTAATCCCCATTAAGACCCCACTATTATGACTTTTACTCGGAGATAAATAGACTTCTCTAATATGTAACGCACACCTTACGCTGCCTCTCTCTCTTTTTTTGATCATTTCACCCCAGGCAAGGCAATAATGCCACAAGGACGTAAGTGATTACTAGGAGTAAAAGCAAATGAGAATACTTCAGTCAGGAGCAATGAGGAAAGGATAATACAGGAACAGGGTTTTTGAAAAAAAGAGACAAGATGGCGACTGAAGTTACATTTAAAATTTTGAAGATTGTAGGTGTTAAGGGATCAAGAAAACCGGAAGTGAGTTCCACAGATGAGAAGTACGAATGTTGTGATTGAATGTTCCTCACTCAATATCGCCTATGTGGACTGATTATATCAGTAGCTATGTATAGTGAGCATAGGTTATACCTGGGAGCTTGCTTTGGCAATTAGAGATTCGTCTCCAGCTGTGCTGGGCGAACTCACTGCCTTTGGGCAGAGAAAAACCCAGAAGAGGCTATGCCTACGGGCAAAGTCGCGTCTGAGGTGGTAGACAGCTACCCAACCCCTTTTTATACGGTGTCTACGGGAATTTTTGCCCGAGCCTACGCTTTGTGTCACATCCTGCCTCGCTGGGATGTAAGGTAAATAATCTTGCTTCAGCAATTGGTTGGAGATTCGTCTCCAGCTGTGCTGGTCGAACCTTCTCCCTTCGGGCAGAGAGGAACCCAGAGGAGCCTATGTCGAAGGGCAAAGTCTCGTCTGGGGTAGTAGGCAACTGCCCGGCCCCCTGTATACGGGGTCTACGGGGAATTTTTGTCCGAGCCCGTAGGCTCGGACACCCCACGTTAAATTCGGCCTTGTGGCATATCTGACCGTGTGGGGTGTTTAGTAAATAACCTTGCTTCGGGAATTAGTTGGAGATTCGTCTCCAGCTGTGGTGGTCAAACTCTCTGCCTTCGGGCTGAGAGGAACCCAGAGGAGGCTATGCCGAAGTGCAGAGTCTCGCCTGGAGTGGTAGACTCAATCCCTTTTTATACAGGGTCTATGGGGAATTTTTGACCGAGCCTAAGGGCTCAGTTTTGCCCTACATTTAAAAAAGGCCTTGTGTCACATCCTGCCTTGCGGGGAGGTAAGATAAATAACCTTGCTTCAGCAATTAGTTGGAGATTCGTCTCAAGTTGTGCTGGTCGAACTCTCTTCCTTCGGGCAGAGAGAAGCCCAGAGGAGGCCATGCCGAAGTGCAGAGTCTCGTCTGGAAAAGTAGACAGATACCAGACCCATTTTTATGCTGGGGTCTACGGGGAATTTTGCCCGAGCCTACGGGTTCGGTTTTGCCCCGCATAAAAATGGCCTTGTGCCACATCATTCCTCGGGAATTAGTCTAGATTTGGAGATTCGTCTCTAGCCTTTCTGGTCAAACTCTCTGCCTCCGGGCAGAGAGGATGCCCAGACGAGCCTATGTCGAAGGGCACAGTCTCATCTCGAGAAACAGCTACCCGACACCGTTTTATACGGGGAATTTTTGGCTGAGCACACAGGCTCGGATACCCCACATTAAATTTGGCCTAGTGCCACATCCGACCGCGTTGGGTGGTTGGTAGATATCCTTGCTTCGAGAATTACCAGCCTGCCACCTGAATCCCCGTCTTTCAGTAGTGTATTCTCTTTTACAATAAACATCTCTTCTTTCACTTACGTGCCTGTTGCTGTTCCTTCACTTGACAACCACCTAAGTCTGTGTGTAACCACTTAAAGGATACAGCAGAATAGAAATAGTGGTTGCATCTAGCTAGTTCAACAATAAAACAGTGAGACCTAGTTGCTAAATCTAGTAGCACTCTTAAATCCATCTAGTCGATGCACTAGGGAAAAGAGCTCATCAGAAGAATTGCCATGAATATATTTGTAGAAAAGACAGAGAGAAGCCACGTTACGTCGATGAGAAAGTGACTGAAGTCGAAATTCCAGGTCAGAATCGATTAAATTACAGGCCCTTTGAAATTTGTCAATCGCGAGGCACTTATTAAGAGCACCGGATTAGATCTGGCAGAATTATTAAATGCACGAACGAATGGTAGATTTATAAATGGGCAAGATGGATTCCGATGGGAAAAATTGATACAATGAACCAAGTTTCTATGCAGTAGACGTAGGAACTGATTGCGATATAGGCGTTCCTCTTCATGTCAGTGGAAAACATGAGCCGAAGAAGGCGAAGAGTGTTGCTATCCTGGAGGTTAGCATCAGTTATACGGGCGGCAAGCAGAAATGGTTCTCTGTGGAAATTAAATGAAAGAGGTTTTGTTTTGGAGGAGTTTTTGCTGAAAACCATACAGAAATTTAATTGGATTGTATAGTAAGAGATGGCAGATATTTTGACACGGAAATCCAAAGGTGTATAGTAATAACGAAAGATAACTTTCAGTAACTAAGCTAAGTATTAAGAAATAGGAAAATATTCTTAGAATGTTATGAAATGAACTCTACTCTTCTAAAATTCTTTAGCGACACCATGGGTCAAAAGAAAATAAGTGTAAAGGGAAGTGGTGAATTTTTAGCGGCCTGGAACGGATGGGAAATCTTTCCATTAATTTCAATGGAGAAAATTGATTTGAGATACGAATCGTTATGGCTGTGTAGTCTTCGCACAGATGAAGACATATAGCGATAGAGATGTGGTTCTACAGAAGGATGTTGCGAGTACTTTAGGCGAAATATATTAATAACAAGAAAGTAATCTCTGACATATATAATAAGGAAAGAGGGCTTGGAAAAGCTAACACTTACAGGACACACTGATGAAAAAAAGGAAATGACGGGTGACATATTGTACGTGTTTGTGTGAATGTTTGACAGAACAGACAAATGGCGATAAAGGTAAAAGGTTATATAAAAAAGAAAAGACAAGAAGCTGTGAAGAACTCACATCCTGAAACGACTGATTGAGTGATTTGTTTTTTTACGGCTTATCAACCTTTTGAAGGTTATTTAAAGCAAATTTTTATTTTAATTAATTTTTTTTTTTTTTTGTTAGTGAATATTGCATTAAAAATTCTTTTGAAATAACGATGATAGTTTTCGATGTACGAGTCCTATTATTTAACCCATAACTGATGGGAGTAAAGATAGATGCATTTCCCATTTTGTACAATTAAGAGGTGGTTCGACGCCCCTCAAAACCTCTTGATCAGAGACCTTGCTGTTGGACGTAGTTTATCGTCTTACCCAGGACGCCTTAAATGGCTACTTTCATTTGCAGGTTTCATATCGTTTTAAGAAGTCAGGGATCGATTTTACATTGTACTGATATTATGAACTGGACACCCTTCTAAGATGATAGTAAGAAAATCAATATTTTTCGATTCTGACAAATGTGGCGCCTTGAGGGATGTCTAATGAAAACAGAATGCCAATAGCCACAACTTATTTTCCTCTAATTTACCATTTTATTTAAATAGTTCCAATACAATTTATCCGATAAAACTTCTTTATTGATTATTTTTTTAAGGTTTATCAACCCTATTGTGGGTTAAAGCCGAAACACATTTTGAAGATTGTAAGAATAATTTTTTTTCTTTTTGCTAGTCAATATTGCATTAACAATTTTTTTTAAATGACGATGATTCTTTTCCATATATGCCATACTATTTAACCCATATGTGGGGGGAGATGGATTCAGACATTTCCCAAAGGTATTTATACGTAAGTGAATGTAACGAACTCGACTGGATTTCGAAATCAGTTCTTCGATTTCTCATTTCGAGACGATGTCTATTACACCACCCGCACATCCACTTTTCTGGTTTTGACTCAGTGATTCTTCTTTTTCGTTACAGATGCATCATGACGATTAAAAATAAATATTACAACACGACTCGCCAT